TTGAGAATCTTCCTCGTCGAATGTACGCACCAAAATGTCATCGTCACTGGACCAACCATTGCTGTCGACTTGACGAGGTCCGGCGCCACCTTTGGGAGCTCGCGGGGGTTCGGTGGTGGCACCCGTCAGCCAGGGAGCTGCCATCAACTCAAGAGGGTATTGGTCTCCCGAGATGAGCTCTGGGGTTGACCTCTTCTTAGAGCTTCTCGTCGCTCCTCGTGGCTTTGTGGGCCACCTCGGCGACCGAACGAACCCTCGTTGTCAGCGTAAACACGCTGCATACGGCTCTCCGAACGTGGTGTAACCATGTGCGAGTCTTGAAAGTACGGTGAAGCTTCGGTAGTGCCAAAGGCACCACGCTCCGCTCCACGCTTGGTCGGAGGAGTACGAACGAGTCGTTGGGGTGTCGGCGGTCGTGGAATCGTGGACGGATTTTCATCTTGAACGATCGCTCAACTCACAGGCGGCTTTCCGGCGTTGATGCCAACAGCGCCAAACGCCTTCCGAAGCTTCTTCTTCCATTTCTGGAGAGCAGCTCCGGGGACTCTAATCTTGTAGCGACATCTTCGATGGGTACGTCTCGTTTTCAAAGCCCAGGGACAATAGTAGCGAGACTGAATCCTCGGCAACTTGGCTAGTCGACATCGAGTTGACTGGGTATTGAAGTTCCTGCGCCAGCGCAGGCCAGTCGGCCTTTTTTTTGGGGATGGGCTTGAACAGCTGCATCCACTCATCATTCTGCATCAGCGCTTGTACGCGGTCGAAAACGCGCTTGGCGGCTGATGCATCACCGTTGAAAGGTGGGCGAGATGCCTTCAGCAGTGCTGAATGCTTTGCACTCACCACCGAAGGTTTAGAAGCCTCGGTCCCATTGTCATAATCTTTGTAGGCCGGTTCCGGTCCCGTAACATCATCGAGCTCGTTGGCGAGGTTCCTCGAAAGGGACCTGGTCGCACCGCTCAGCCCCGATGATAGCGTGGCCGTCTCCGGCGTCGCTGCGCCTGGCTCTGGAGCCGGCGTCTTGTCTTCGTAATCTTCATAATCGTGGGCGTCAGGACCGATGTCAGCTTCGTCATTGAAGCTCACTGAAAGCTCGGTGGCGGCTGCAAAGCGCGCAGCCGGGCTTGAACTCTCGTTGCGAGCCCCGCCAGACTTGGCAGGCGTAACTGGTACCGTCGGTTGTCCTTTCGCCATGTTTCTTGTTTTCGTTTTCTTGTCTTGGTAGCTCGGAAAATTGAAAGGCCATACAAACAGCTCACAATGGTCACAATCTGTTCCCGGGTCGCGGCACCAGTTGTGGTGTTGGAATTCCCACGTGAGCTCTAGCTACAAGTGTAGTCAGGACGTTCCCACAACAATACGTCTACTAGGATAGTAAACGATCGTTCTTATGCCTGTCAGTGAACTCGAGGCTCTGTAGCGAGGGTTCATCCGGCAAGGCCAAGAGACTTTGTGTATTGGCCTATTACTATCGGGAAGTTTTACGTGACGGCTTATTGTTGCCTATTTGCACGACTGGGAGTGCTTGTATTGCATCCCTTTTATTCTTCCAACCGAGTGTTGAACACTCGGTGATCTCGTAAAAGGCTTACCCGTGCCTGGTACCCTTCCGCTGTTGGGACCACGAGGATTAAAAACACCTGCTAGCTTTGCTCGTGCTAGTAGCGTGTTCTTATTTTTACTGGTTGGCCTATATAAGTAGTTTACAAGGTCCAGTTTGTCCCGGTGCAAGGGCAGAACTGGGGTCTTCAGGTCCGCCCCACACTCAAACAAGCTTGACCAGACGCTTACCTTGAAGCCGGACGTCGCTCTGTGTGCTTGAGTGGAAATTTTGTTCTGTATTTAAGCTTACCCTTTCGGGTCTATTACTAATAAGAAGTCCTAATCAAATATACAAATATCAAGTGAACAATGATCCGTTATGGATCTTCTTGCGTGCCAAGCGTCGTCTGCACCGTCGCATGAGCATCTTTAACGGTCCGCGCGCTGTCCCAGACGGTGCACGTGCCTTCCAAGGGTCGCTGAGTCTTCCGCGAACTCATCCCAACCGCCACTGAGGGTTCGTACCGTAGATGGTCCGCTGAATGCGAATCCAGCCAGTCCATTATTAATAATAAGGACAGCCTGGATTCAGTGACATATGGACTGTATCCAATATCCGTTGAGAGCTCGGAAGTGACGCCGTCGAGTCCCTTGCACCTGGGCGTCTCCGTACATCACATGACCGAGGGTTCGTCGCTTGAACATCTTGGGTGGTGTCACGTCTTTGTCGACGGGTGATCATCCGCAACTACGGAGAAATCACTACACTACACCATCCCTTTTAAGCTAATAAAGGAAGCACATGTTAATTAAATAACACTGCTTAGCTGGGCAAACGGAGGCGGCCTTGAGAAGGTGGGTGCGTCTGACATTGTGGATCATACGGTTAAATTTGACTAAGATAACTACGATCAGGCAATGCGCAGCGCACAAAAGGACGGAAGTCTAAGGGTGATACCCCAGGCCCTCGTAGCGAATGGGGTTAAATCGTGGTCCCACAGCCACACAGTGCGCATGTCTAGCATACAAAATGGGTATTCAAGACCAGGCAAGATGCTAGTGGGTTAAACGAGCGTCTGATGCCCAGAGTGGTCGCTTGGGGGAATGCACAGGGGTTCGTACAGCATCACTTTCGCGGCAGTCATTGAAATGACGAGCGTTAAGATTGTCTTGTTTTTGGCCAGAAAATGTCGGGTGCCTGCAAAGTACGGTGCGCTGCCAAATACGTCAATGCAAACACGGAAGCAGGGCTGGGGAGCTTTATCCATATCCCGAAGCGGATGAATATTCCAGAAGAGTTACTGAAATGCCAAGGCGGAACGATCAAGGACGAGGTCGCCCTGGAACTACAGAAAGCTCTGTATGGTCTGAAATAGTCGGGGGGGGGGCCTGAACCTCCTATTACCGGTATTGTGAGCTTCGACTAAATTTGCCGTTTTGGTTATAACTTCCTGTTGTTTTGAAACGGCCCAGAACGTACTTTAGTGACCTCAAACTAAAAGCAAGACGAGGTTGAGTGCACAAAGGTGTAGTTCTAATTATTTTTACAAATTTTACACATCATTCTGGGTCTGATATTCTTGTAAAGTTTGTACAGATTAAATTGAAATGTGCCTTTTTCTGGCACTTCGACCCCTTGCTGACAACCGCCCTACACACAATAGTGTAAATTAGAGCTTCAACGTGAAATACGAGGTGTAGACCAACCCTCTCCTTCTTAGGACCAGCTTAACAGCCTAAATTTGAGAAAGCATCGTTCGCGTCAGCGAGAGATTCAGGAACTTGGATACGAAAATGCCATAAGGCACAAATCCCGCAATGTCCATGACCAATTCATCTGTGCTTTACGTAAAGTATGCAGGTAGAGTTGCTGTACACGACGTCGCATCACTGACAAGCTCGCCGAGCATAACGCGTGGAAGAACAAAGTCAACTCCTGACTTACACCATTTCAGGTTCGTTCTCCCCACCGCAGGAGTTCGATACAACCACCCCAGAGCCGACTTGCACATAGGACCGGGCAAATCTCAGTTCAAAACACCCAATGCCTGAGTTCAATACAAACAGGTGTCTCTTTTTTTGTTGCCAATTACTGCGAAAGTACCAACTTCTGGCACCTTTATCAACAGACTTGCTTAGCCAGTGTTGAGCAGTTATGGAGCTGGCGACGCGTTCTTCACCTTCGCCTTGGCGAACCTCATTATTGTTCGCGTCGTAGGTCCACAGTGCTCTGGAGCCGTCGCTATTTACACCAGAGGTATCTAATGTGGACTTACCTGATGTCGTCGTAATAGCGCATACAACGTAAATGGCTAGAAAGGAGATGTTGGCTAGTTGCATTGATGAGTACTATATCAGTGATGACGGTAGGAAATTGAGCTTTGAAGTCGAAATAATACAGGAGTAGTGTGGTCTTATCATTAAATTCGATTATGAGCGGCACCATTTTTTCGTCATCATAATTATGATGACGATTAAAAGAAGGTGTTACGTAAGCGAAGATTTCGTCGTACAGTACAGAAGTCCCCCTTAATAAGCTCAGCTTGCAACCGGGTCACATAGATTAAAGGTATATGTGACAAATCAAAAGATCGCCATATTTCTTCTATGAAAATGTATCGCACGGCCCCGATGCTTATTGAGGGATACTTCTGTATTATTGTGAGTTCTACTCGAATTGTTTGAAATCTGTTATTGAGTCAAACGTGTAACTTAAAAAATTGGCAAATAGGAAAGTTACGGTAGGAGCCCCTAATCAGTATTCAATAGTTGAAAAAACTGCAATCAAGATTTGCGCGACTGGTGGACAATCTCCCTCGGGGAGGCGCGAAGCACGTCAAGATGACGCCTGAAGCTAAGGTACTCCTGGAGGAGTACCTGAATGATAACTGTTCCTACACGCTGGACACTATGAGGACAATATTGTTTCTGGACTGTTGCATTAAGGTGGACACGTCCGGCACCTGAAGGGCATGCTGTTTACCGTAAAACAAGTGAGAGTCGAGCCCACAACGTGTAATAGCGATAGCAACATTGAGAAACGACGTGTGTTCGCCGTGAAATTAAAAGAGCATCAAGACGCAGGTAGATTTGGCGCGAGTCGAGCAGAGCCTATCGTTTAGGCGCGAACCAGTCGCGCAAATCTTGTACGAGGTTGATTGCAGTTTTTTCAACATTGAATACTGATTAGGGGCTCCTATTTAATTTTCCTATTTGCCAATTTTTAAGTTACGAGTTTGACTGCCGTTTTCTACGGATCCTTGAAGTGCACAATAACCTGTTGTCACATATCCTACGGTATCTTCTCTTTTATTGTATATGCTCCCGGTAGTGCTTCACGGACAGCCCATGTCTTTACGAAACGAATTAGTCCTACTCTGCCAACTCACAGCAATACCTTGCTCAAGCTCGTCGAAGACGCCATTCCACCGTCTAGGTAGGTTAGCAACAAAACAATTCTATTGTTTTTTTTTATCGTTAAGACGTTGAACATCGAATGCAGTAGCTGGCGTCAGATCTCGGACGAAAGCTCGAGCCAGCAGAAACAGCAGCGGGATGAACACGATCTGCGCGTTCACGATGCCAAACATGGATATCGAGTTGCCGATCTCCTTCCAGCTGCCTTCATTCTTGACGAGGAACAAAAAATGGAGTGCAAGTACGTCCGACATGGCTACAACTAGAAGGAAGTAGCGTGTAGCAGGTAGTCTAGGCTTGGTGGTCTCAACTGCTGATGCAGCCGATGGAAGCAGTAGAATGAGATGGAATGTACTGGCCACCAGCATGAACGGGATGAGGATCTTGCCCACCAGTAGCGCACCCATCGTGAAAGGAGCGAACACCGTAACGAAGCGGTACGTAGACGAGATCTCAAAGCTGCTCATGCTGGCCACGTTACCCGTGCCGAAGAACGCGATGTTCACCAGTAGCAAAAAGACAAACGCTTGCTGAATCTCTCGCCACATTGAAGATGAAGATGCTAGCGAAGCCTGAGCCTCCAGTTGTAACCAGCTCACGAGAACAGCGCAGAGAGCCACGTAGAATAAAACCTCGTACGCGATACTCAGTAAGACGAACGACGGCGCAAACGCTAGCATCACTTCGAGAAGACGTCTAGTATACAGTCCGTGGAGACGTTGTTCAGCATGACGGTCGGTACCGGTTTCCAAGGCACGCGATAGACTGCTCTTGCGTCGTTGTAATCTCCCTATAAGCAGTAGAATTGGAGTGCCAGATAGCAGCCAGTTGGCTACAGTGAGGTAGAATGGCGGCTTGCTTCGATCGCCGTCCAGATACTGCATAGTGCCATTCAAAGTCAACAGTGACAGCACCAAAGGCGACGCACTGAGGACGAAAGAGGAGCTCTTCCAGCTCGTCTGGTCTGCGGATGTCATTCGTTGTGCTACCGCAGCGAGCAGCAACGTCAGCAGACCGCCGATGTTCACTAACGCCGTATGCTCTCCATACTCACTAGGCAAGTACGGGAACACAGAGATGACAAGACAGCTGACTGTCCAAGACCGACTTGGTACTGCGCTTCTGCTCTCATTAGCCTCGTCATCACTTGTAGCATTCCCAACGTACGGCCAACACGCAAGTAGTGAGAAAAGCACTCCGAAAATCTCTCGACGTTCGTATCCAGCCACCACAAGCTCCAGGCACAGCAAGATGAGTGCGATCTCCGCCCATCGTTTCAAGCGCGACTTGGATTGCTTCCCACTTGACCCAGACACCCAGGCTTGTTGTATTAGACCACGATGATTCCACGTGAATACTCCGAAAACTAATGGAAACAGCAGATACAGGTAGTACGTCGTCGGTGAGCCCTCGAGAGCCAAGTACACGAACGCTGCAAACACCAGCACGACCAACTTGATGTCCAGCTGTTGGCCACCCGCACCAAGCAGCCACTTCATACTGAAGTCTCGTGGATGCAGATACGCCACTCCAACCACAAGCAGCCATCCCAAATACCCCAGGACGACGATACCAAGCAGGAAGAACCAGTCGTATCGCTGGAAATACTCCAAAGTCGCCAAACAGATCTTAATCAGCTCCTGACTCAGCTGTTCCACGCCTTCATACGACTCCGAGTTCTCACTCTCAATACTCTTCTTATACGCGTCCGCTAGTTGCGTCAAGAGCTCGGGAACTCGGTCACGAAAAGGTCCATACGGTACAAATCGCAGCAATGTACGTGACCGTTTCTCCTGTTCCTTACGCAGCGCATGCAGGTACAATTGCTGTGCGTTAGATCGCACTGCATTGGCTCGGTAGGCTCCCTTTGCGAGGTACGAGAAGGGCAGGACTCCAACTGAGTTACGTGGATACGGTAGACCTAGTAGCGCACTAATAAGCGGCGCCACATCAGCCTGCATCACGTCTTTGCGCACCAAAGTATTGAGAGCGCCCCAGTCTCCCACTGCTGCTTGCTCCTGTTCCTCCTGTGCCTGTAATTGAGCCTTAACTTGCGCTCGAGACTGTGTGGGTAGATCGATACTAAACGCTCCTGTCTTCTCCACTGTCACGGGTCCTTGGACACCTGCCCCCCACACTACCAACGGAGTGCGTGTATTGGCTGGATCTCCGTCTCCATGAGCTCCTTTCAGCCCCATACCGTGATCTGCAGTGAACACGTAGGCTGTCCGTCCATCGTAGTCGTAGAAATCCTCGACCATGCGATAAGTCTTCTCGACTAGCTCATCTACGAGCGCAATATTGTTCAAATAGTCCTTGGAATTGGGTCGATGGGCGTGGCCATTGGAGTCAATGCCCAAATAGTGACAAAAAATCACCACTCCGTCACTATGGAGCTTTGTATGCAGTTTTGCGTCTTCTTTTGCACCATGCAGTAGGTTTTGGAAATGGCGGAAGACCCAAACGTCCAATTCAGACGCGTCTCCTTTGGCAAAGTCTTCTTCTTCATGGGAATAATGCTCTTCAAGTGCTTGTGGCACATGACGAGCGAACATCGGGACGATATCCGGACTACCGAAGAGGAAGGCGGAGCTGCTTTGGTTGAACACGGAGTCAAAGTCCACGGGGTTGTCAGCCCAGCCTTTCGTCACAGCGCTGACGTCCTCGTACATACCGGCGAAGAGCGCCACGTGGCCAGGACGGCTCTCAGTTGGCACACGCGTGTGTGAGACGCCCCAGCTGCCCTGCGTCTGCATCATGTTACGTAGGAAAGACACGCGGAGTTCTGCACCGGCTTCTTGAGCGCTGGTCGAAGTGTTGGTCTCGAAAAACTTGTCTGCTCTACAACCGTCGGCAACGAACACCACGACGCGCTTGGCTGGTGGGGAGTCCGTGTACACCACACTCTCGACGTGTGGCACCACAGGAGACGTGAAGTAAATGTCGAAGATGCTCAGCACGTACAGAGCGTGGAAAAACACACCCAGGGCTAGTAAACGCGGTAGGCCTCCCACTACCTTGGTCATGATAGGCCTGCGAGTTTGTCCGAAGTTGGATGTGAAAGTAACTGTTGGTAGTTGGAGGTCGAATCTGCTAGTCTAGCTGTACCTGGGCGCAAGGTTGGAAGAGTCGAAGAATCGTTTCAAACGACCTAGCGGTTAGAAAACGCAAGTTACATTTTAATACTGAGCCAAAAATGCCGCAGATGGGCGGGAGCATCCGCGAGGAAATGGAGGTAGCGCTGCATGAGCATCGCTTCCTGGTGACCAAGCTACTGGAGTCCCTCAACACGGCTTCTCTGTACGCAGTATATCACTCCGTTTCCACCGATTTGGAGCCGTAATAAGGACATTAATCAATGCTCTTAAACTGTAGACCTCCGTCCACCATCACGGCTACGAGGCTGCGTACAGTGAACGAGACGTTCAACAAAGTACTCGAGAAAGACCGCGACCTACTGACAGCCGTAAAGAAGCGTACGCTCTGAGCGGAATAAAATGCGCAGACAGCGAATTAACATTAACGACGAGTGTTTTAGTGGCGAGGCATCAGGTGGCACAGAAGGAATTGCTGCGTATTGAGGCCGAGATCGAGAACAAGAAGCAGAAAGTCGTTCAGTATGCTGCACAGCTGCGCTGCTCCCAAGAGGATATCGCCGATGTACTAAGGAAACACCGAGTTACACTCCAAAATGCCAAGCAAAAGTCCAAAGGTAGAGTCCTATGTTGCTGGAATCTGGATACAAAATATTCTAAATATTGTTTTACTATGAATATAGTGGTACTGGATCCGCGCGATATCGTTGCATATGCTCACCGTATTGCAGGCACGACGTCAGCGCCGAAAGAGTGGCAACCTGGGGTAAGTGTACCTTGGGTACCCATTTGGGGTGTAATTGATGTTGCTAATGCACATTTTTCGGTGTTTTGTGATACAGTTCCCAATGTTTGGATTCATGCCACCAGCACCACAAGAGCACATGATGCGTGCGGGTGTACTCAGTCGTGGTATCGTCGCTGAAATTGTAACTCAAGGTCCGGAGAAGTATACGTCTACTGCAGCTAGAGTGAGCAAAGAAGGCGACGGTGATGCCATGGAGAAGCTCAATATCCCCATTGGTTTGGGTGCGAGTGATGCTCAGATCCGCAAGCAGATGCCGCCTGGATGGAAGCCAGGCGACCCCGTGGATCTGCCACTCGATGCTCTGCTGCACTACATGGGTCGGAATTTCTTCACGGAACACGGTATCACGCTGCCTGAGTCGTGGAAGACGGGCGACCCGCTCCCTCCGGACGCAATGGAGATATTGCGCAAGAAGTTTAAACTGCCTGAGAAACGGGCAGCGCTGTACGACGACGAGGTGGTGGACGATGTCGAGAGTTTGCGCAAGAAGCGCAAGCTCGAGGAGGGCGACAAGGCTGACGAGGGCACAGCAGAGAGTGACAGCTCCAGCGACTCGAGTGACAGCGACGAGGAGGCTCCGAACACGATCTCGCTCAGTCTCTCGTCGTCAGAGGACGAAAGTGACGACGATAGCGACTAAAGTTGCTCACGCCATATGGCTACATTTTATTGTTTGCAGATTACGGTATCTTTTCAATTATGTTAATTTCACAACGATCGTCGTTACTGTGCTTACCCATTACTTACTCGGGAAAGGTCTTAAGAAAAGATACTTTTTGGCAAACTTCAAAGCTAATCGTGTCAAACTCGCAGCACGTCGTCGTCGAACCCGCTCGCTTTTCTTAGCCTTTCGAAGGCGGTTCGTGTCTCGCGCAACGGTAATTCACTGCGTTCGCCCGCTCGTGATTGGTCTGTCGATCGTATCTGGTCACTGGTCTCCTGTCTCCTCGCACCTTGACTCCTTGAGGGGTTCCACAACTGGGCGGTTGGTTCACTTCGCTTGGCGCACGCCTCGCCGCCTCGTCGGCTATTATTACTTGGTCCTCGCCGCAGATAACTCGAGATCTTCAGCATCCACGCTGCTAAGTCGCGTTCACTCTGGTATTTGCAGCGTCCCAGCCGGCTGTCGAAGTCTCAGCTCCCACTTCTCAAGTAGAAATTCACTCTCAGACACCATGGCAAGTCGACCGGTTCAGAAGATGGGCTCGTTGGCCAAGCTCCGTCAGCAGGAGGCCACAGCCACCAATGTAGCGTCGCCTAAAGGCATCTCCATCAAGACGCCGGGAAAGGTCCCGGTAGCGCAGACCGGAGGGGACCATTCCCTTGGCCTGCAACGTCGTCGACTATCGGTAGTTAGTGACAACAAGCTGGTCGATGGGATGGCTGCAGCTAGTATTGAAGACGTGGATAGTAGCGAGCAGGCTCTGGCGGACGCTAATTGCGCAGTGGTAGCCTTTGCCGGGTTATCTAAGAAGGGGTACGCTCCCTATAACCCACGCAAGAAGAACCAGGACGCAATGGTGATTAAGTACGACGAAACCACACAGTCACTGCTCTTGTGTGTGTTTGACGGACACGGTGAAGCCGGTGACGGCGTGTCCGGCTCTATCCGCGACAAGTTCGCTACGGAACTCTTCGCCCACGACAAGTTCGCGCGCTCTGGAGACATCAAGCAGGATGCCGAGAGTCTACAAACCGCCATTTTGGATACACTACAATCCGTGGAGCAGGCCGTGCTGCGCGATCCGAGTATTGATACCGAGTTCAGTGGGACAACGGCAGTAGTGAGTGTAGTGCGAGACAACCTGGTGGTGGTCGGGAACGTCGGAGACTCCCGTATCACTCGAGGCTTCGTCAAGCAGGCTGGTCCTTCAGGTCCGGACTCCATGGGCTGTCAGGAGTTATCTATTGATCACAAACCTGACCGACCGGACGAAAAGGCTCGTATTATCGCCAGTGGTGGTCGAGTGTTCGCTGTAGAGTACGACGACGGCATCGATGGCCCTCCTCGTGTCTGGCTGGGACACATGGACGTCCCAGGACTCGCCATGTCCCGCTCACTGGGAGATGCGGTGGCACACACGGCTGGAGTCCTCTCGGAGCCGGAATTCACGACTCGGTGGCTCGATGAACACGACCGCTGCCTCATTGTAGCCACTGACGGTCTGTGGGAGTTCATGTCCAATGAGGAATGTATGGAGATGGCCATGGGCCAGCAAGACCCGAAAGTTGCTGTGGATCTGCTGATCATGGAGGCAAACCGTCGCTGGATGAAGGAGGAGCAAGTCATCGATGATACCACCATCATCGTGGCGTATATTGACACGGTCGGGGTCAAGGAAGGCGACAAGGTCACGGCATAACTCTTGAAAGAGCGGATATACAGTATACACACCGTGACGCTGTGGCTTCTATATCGTCCGTCCTGCTCTTCTCGCTTAATTTAAAAATTAATTAAATAAAGCTCCACATCGCTCTTTGTAGCACCATAGCAGGCCACACTGTAGACAAAGCCTTAGGAAATGTAGATGTGATTCACGTGAGGATGGAACGACGTCCTCAATGTTGACTTCCAATGCAAATGAGGTCGCTACATGTAGATCCACATATTTCTGTTCTACTCAATTGTCAGAATGCGCTGAGGAGCTCAGAAATCGTCGTCGTCGTCATCGTCGTCTTCGTCGCTGAAATACGTTCGCCGTTTCATCTGATAACCACAAGAGGAATGAGCTTTACAGTCGGTTCTAAGCAGCTATTGCACTCGCAGTCGTACCGTGACTTTCGTGCGCTGCTTCTCCTCATTGACGCCCACTTGGTTGAGCAAGTCGATGAGCTTGTCTTCGTCGATCTTGGCAGCCAGTTGGCCACGTTGAGCCATTTGGATGACCATATCCTCAATAGCACGCGCCTTTTCGGGCTTCACGATAGCTATTCTAGCCACTATATCGCAGTAAAATCACCAACTAGCGGTCGCAAATCAACTGGATCGAACAAGACCCACGTACAGCGCTCACGGGCGTCCGGCAGCATAACCTGTTGCACCAAGGACTGACGCATCTGCTCCTGCTCCCTGTTTATTAGATCACATTTAGTCGATATTTAGTTTGACAGGATAGCAGACTGAGGACACGCACTGCTGCTTCATTTGCTGCTGTTGCATCTGCTCCATAGACATCTGCGGCTGAGTCGCGGACTTCTTCTAAGCAGCGTGGGCATACAGTCGTCGTTAGGGATTGAGTATTGCATCGTAAAGCGCACCAGGCAGCTGTATGAGAGAAATAGCCAGACGAGCGACGCGAGACTGTGCCAAAAGCGCACATGCAGAAGACAACTTACGCTCATATTGACGGCTTGCTTTGGATCCGAAATCACTAAAACGATAAATGACACTGGCCCACAATATTAAAACGCTCTTTCATCCAATCAAGTATGAGCCTGAAACCCAAAATAATCAACCAATAGAGATAGACATTGTGATAACCTAAATCAGTTTTTAACAATTACAAAAAGGGCTAAAAACAGAAATTCATGTAAGTCAGACCACCTTACTTCGAAGAATAATACAGTAATGAAGCAACAAGGGTAAAATTAATTTCCTGACAAACTTCATATCGCCCTCGACATCACGGAGATGGGCAAGGCACTGAGTCACTACTACTGATTCGAAAATCCAGTAGCCCAGGCTGGTTCAACCACTATGTTGATCGCTAGACAGAATTTGAATTTTAGCGCCGTTAATACATGGACATGCACATGCACATGTTATCTGTAGCCGCTGTCGATCCCAGCGCATTTCCAATTCCGCTCGCGATCACACGCGATGCCGCCACCAGCGCTGAAATCATGTCCAAGAATCTTCTACGTGCCTTCGCCTCACCTGGGGCGAGAAGACCAAACGTACGCGTCGAGAAATTACCTTCCAACACAACAGCAAAGGTGTAGCCAACGGGCCAGAGAATAATTCGCTGTGTTAAGAGGTACATTCTCAGTCAGAAAAGGCTACATATCTTAGATTACGTAGGGGGATATGTAGATAAACCCTATTTACTAGTAGCAGAAATGCTCACAGCCTTGTTGTGGTGTGAGACAGCGCGGTCTAAGGGGGGTCCAACGACTATCAAGTATTGTTAGCAGCATTCGGGTTTGATAAACAAAGCCAGTGCTAGCTATATGCTTAACTAAATTAGTAGGACAAAGCATTCGACCCATAGCTGCGTAGTGACCTCATTATACACTCTAGAAATTATTATAAATCAGGCGTTGCTTCACAAGGCAGATAACTGTACGTCAATATTACATCAAGATGCTTATTATCTTGATCAGGACACAAGCCCAGCTCGTCGACGACGTCGTGGCATGACGTCCACAGTCGTGCTGGACGACATCAATCTCCACGATTGGTTCAGGTACCGGAGCCCAAATACCGCCACACTGTAGTCCTGGTACAGTACACGGCCACTAAGAAAACTTGCTCCAGTCTTTCGCAGGTAGAAACACTTATACAATAATCGCTCTCACCTTCGGTATCGTGGTCCGACCATATCCTAGGATTTGATATATTTTCTTAAAGAAAAAAGCTACAGTACATTTACAAGGTTAACTGAGAGGCAAGGATAATAACATCTGGCACCGCGAGCGCCCCTGGTGCAAATGGAGCGGGAGGGAGCCATAGCATAGCAGAGTCCGGTTTCGTCCATGTTGTAGATATCTTTAGGCTCGTAAAGGTCGGTCAAATCTTGTAGTCGCTGACGGCCGAGCGCTACTTCGACGGGATCAGCAGTGCCAGCTTCGCCAGGGAGTTTCCGGCTCCGCAAGCTATGCCTCCGCTCAAATGCGGTCAACCATCCGTCCGAAAAAGTCATATCCCACGCATCACACAGGTCCTTCTGAATATCACGGGCTTTTAGCTTAATTAAGTCTTGTAAGAGACATACACCTTTAGCTTCTACTTTCAGAATCCACTCTAATAAGAGCTTCTCCAGCGCTGACGACGTCACGCGTAAGGGTTTCCGCCGCTTGTCATCTCCGTAGGTGACGCACATGATCTTGGCTGCGTTTTTGAGGATGTCAGAGACAGTAGTTTGAGCAGGCGCTTGCCTCAGCCTGTACGTCGCTTTTGCCCACGCAGCCAGCTCTTCTTGCGTCATGTCGGGACAATCTGCTGCCTTCTAGATGAGGCCTCGCTTCTGCTGTATCTTCATCCAGCTCCCCATGGGTATAAACTAATGTGAATTATGATCTGAAGCCTATGATCACTGTGTTGTTCTTCAAATGGTTGGAGCTGAGCGATTCGCGCCAGAATCCCCGTCAGTACACCCTCCTTAAAGCGATTGTATCGATATTTTAGGGATATTATTTTATACCAGTACCGGAATGGAGAGCGATTACTGTATCCGGTGTTTAAGTACGAGGTGAAATCCTGGGTTTGGGTCGTCATGTCGACCGGAAATGTCGTGCTGCGCGACATAAGGTGTCATGCCAGCTGGATACACTCGTGCATCGACGTGTGTCTCTTCTTCTGTGACAGGAGAACGGGGCTGCTGGACCTTCCTATCTTGCGAAAGATCGATGGGGAGCCGCAGGTCGTTTTTCACCTCGGTCCATCGAACTGATCAAGTACTTGAAGAGCCCCACGCAAATGCCTCCAAGCAGACCGCTAACCGGGATGAAGGTCTGTTGACCTACTGTGTTGACCGGGTGGATAAGATTAAAGGTAGAATTGAGCACTTCAAGAGCCATCAAAAGTGCTGCCAGCACTAAACCACCCATGTTCATGATCATATGGCAAGGAATTGCGTTATGCGCGACTTCGAGTGCGAAGCCGAGTTCGTCTTCGAATAGTGAAAATGAGCTATTGGTACAGCCTAGGGGGAAACAAGCAAAAACACACCGACGATATCTACGCTGGGACATGAAAAGAGGAAAACCATAAGCCTTATAGCGAGCTATTCTCAAATTTTAGGCTGATACAATCTTGCCGATAGTTTTATCGAGATCAAGTCTACCAATCGTCTTCTTCGTTTAGTTCACTAGATGGCTATTTTCTGGACAAGATACCAAAAAGAAGAATGCTGGGAGGGCCAAGTTTAGATTGCTACGCTATGGTTTGCGAGGACGAAGAAGGTTTGTCCCTCACTGGCTGTCAAAAGAATACCCAATGACATGACAGAATAATGCTCGAGCTTACTTGCTATGAGTTTACGGCATTCGGCTCTTCCAAACCAGCCTCACTCGATGCCGTTGCTACAGCTCCGCGGACGGTGCTCTTATTGATTAAGATGGACGAAGAGAGATGGCGTATTGGGGCGGTCGCTTCGGATAAAGCTGGGCAAAGCAGTCGTGTTTGCAGAGCTCTGGTCCTTCGGTGGCCCGAGATACGTGTCGTGATATGTTTCGCCCACGACTTGAGCAACACAGTAAAAGTAACTCTAAAGTCAGACTACGCGAAAGGCACAAGAAGACCTCCGACGCGATGAACGGTCTTTTCAAAGAGGTTAGTTGAGTCTCAGGTTGCATGTTTGACTCGTTTGAATACGACCTTAGATTTAGCCAGCTTTGCGAAACACGGTGGAATAGCATGAGCATATGCCTTTCTTCATTACTTCGTTTCCGTAGTGCTCTAGAGATGCTGGAACTCAAATTTCGCAGAGATGACGATTATCTGAGGTCTTTATATGTTTTTTAAAAGAAGGTACCCCGCCCCGAATTGTCGCCCCGTTAAACGACGCTCACCGAGCTTGATTGATTCACGAGCTTCATTCTTTTCATAGTAGCGGTCACATTGAACGCGAGAAGATGCGTCCCTTTCTCTCGGCTTCTACTGGCACACATGTGCAAGTTAATGCGCTCTTGTAAAGCATGCCAGTATGGCAAGCCGCCACCGCCAAAGAAGGTTTCGCTTCAGCCATTCCCCGTTGCATCAGAACCGAGGATCTCAGCATGAACTTGGCCTTCAGCCTTCGGGCCTTCCCTGAGACGCCCAATCCCGATATCCTCGGTTTTCGCTTATCGCATCAAGTTAATCCATCGTGCTCTCTTTGCAGCTGGCACTACCGCGACGTAGTATGCAGCAGCCTTCTTCGACCTCATGTATTGCAATCACGGCTTACCGACATCGACCGTATCCGATCGAGGTCTCTATTTTATGGTCCAAGTTCTTTAAACCCGTCGGGACGCAGATAAAGGTGCCGACGCTGATACAGATATCCGAAGCGTGCTAGCTGAGCCCTCGAAGACGGACTGAGGTGTCGCCACGTTGTGTAACCCTATTGCAGACTAAACCCAGCAAAGTACCTGATTTACTATTTAACGCGAATGAAAATCAGTAGCACATATTTTAGACCAATCATGTCGTTTGCGGAAAACCAAGTATATTGCTTGGTTTTACTACATTAATTGCCATAACTATTGGTAAACCCATGCAAGATGATATAGTATGCTGCGGGGTGCGGAGTAAAACCAAGCTTATATGAATGTTTTACGATTTACTATGTA